TGCGGAATACGAAAGTTTCTCGTAAATTTAAGGAACTTGGCATTCCGCAGATTCAAAGCGGTGTTGACACTGACACATAAGGTGTCAGTTGCCAAACAACCACAATATTTGCATAAGAAGTTAGCATGTAGTGATATAAATCAACTAAATGCAAAGAATGGAAATATGTTAGTGATACCCTTAGATTCTAATACTGTCATTTACTTACAACGCTGCTAAATTATATAATGATCTGCCTGTTACGTTCCAAGATTAGGCACTACTTGATTTTAAGAAGATACTCAAACTAAAGCTGCGCGCCGAGTCTCTTGACGATCACAAAATACTGGAAATATGGACTATTCTTGTAACTGATTCTTTTTTGTGTTACTAATTAATTGGTTATTGTTGAGAATTATGCCTGCATTTCTGTCAGTTTAGCACTTTATTATATTATACACAAGGCTTACTTTGTCTTTTTGGTACTTTTGTACGAAATAAAGCCCCTTTATTTTTATTGTAGATATGGCACAACACACTTTTGGAAACAGTATCTAGTTTTAGGTTCAACAGCTTCGTGGGACGCGTCGAATTTATATTACCTTACTTATGTGTCGTGTCTTAATCCTCCTCTGACTTTCACACTTTATCAAATCAGATCTGCAAAGAAACTGAAATTGAACATATCCGCAGAGTAACGTTGATCTATTTGTGGTGTGTCAATCTCTATCTCAAACGCAACCTACGAGTTCTTGTATGGCGACAGTACCATCTAGAAGATTTAGATCTGCAATCAAGCTGCAATCCGAATCGGGTAAAAGAAGTGGTACACAACCTCACAGAGGACGTTCTCTATGGGTGGTACCCAGCAGCTGCAGTCTAGCTCCAGCAACGTTCATCAAGCATTATCAAAGCGCCATCTCGCAGTGTTTACGACAGAAATAAACACACCGTACGAGCAACTTGAACATAAGAAAAAACGTCGAAATGAATACGGAATCGCTACTTCCCCAACGAAGTCCCGCGCAAAATTAATTTGACGTTTTATGCGAGGTGCTGAGCGTAAACAGGTCCTGGGAATCGCCGAAGACGACTTTCTTATGCGGTGCATTACGTCTGCATTTGTATGGTAATGGGAGTGGACTACCGCAAGAGATGTGCACGGACAAGGATCTCGGAGGGGCATCCGGCGCTACGGTGCGTGGAAACTAGACTTTTGACCTTTGGATCAGAGTTTAGTCTAGTCCAACTAGTTAAGATACCAAGGAGATACAATCTTCCGCAAATTATGAGGCTAAATGTAATTATTTTATAAAATCACGCTTTCCTCACTATTTGGAAAAGACTTACAAACGTAAAGGTTGTTCTCAAGGTTGCATTCACTAGAAAACAACTGATTTTCCACTAAGGAAAGAACAAACGAATGAAATACGTATTTTTTCGCAGTTTTTGATTTCTCTCTTCGCAAGCTTTTTTTATATTAGGTTTATGGGAGCTTGTACGAATGGTTTTTGAGCTACAGTTAACCGTTTTGTGAATTGGATTCAAGGTAAATGTAAAGCATAACAGAACCGCCCAAAATAAGAATAGCATTCAATTAGAAACAGCAGATTGGTCAGAATCTCTGTGTTTTCATTATAAACTAAACCTTATTGCAATAAACTCAAAAAGTTACGAATGTGTCTCTAGAAAGTCAAAAACTAGTTGTACGAGCCCTCATACGTCTTACATCATAAAAAGTCCTGTGAAAAGGGGAATCAAAAAATGTAAAAATATAACTATTTGAAACTTTAGAGAAACTCTTCATTTTTCGCTCTTGATCAGTCTGTATACATTAACAAAGAAAATCTAAATGTAAGTAAATAGGGAAAAGAATAAAATTTTTCCAACGAAAAAATTGTGGATGTGCGGGTTCTCGAAATTGAGTAGAATAGATTGTAACATATGTTAAAAGTTTGAAAATAGAGACCTACAGTATGATAAATCAAATTGCTCCATTTGAAAGGGCCTGTCCGAATCTATACGTACAATGAAATGTAGATCCTTCCGTTAAAAAAAATTTTTTTGCGTCACCACCTAGTTGTGAATCAGTAGAAATAAATGTATTTTCCAAGTAAGGAGCATACAGTTGGTTACAATTTTCATATTTAACTCACCGTGTATACCAACCAACCAAATTGTCTCTACTAAGAAAAAGGTCTAGAATCCACAAGTGGATCTTGTGATAATGAAGAGGTAGGAATATTGAATATTGAACAGTGTGCTGCTGATATTTAAAAAATGATGTCATTAATATTTATACAGTGCGTGTCTGTTCTCAGCGGCCAGAATAGTTGTCGGGATGCCACGAGCGCCATGTTTTTACGGCTACCAAACGCGAACCTTATCAGATATGTTTTGCGACCGACCGCATATCGACGGGTGGAATTCTTCTAATGCGCTATTCGAGTTGGCGGTGAATGGTGAAAAGGCTGCCGTCAGGTTTATTTCTTAATTAGATACGCATACGAGGGGCTTTGGAAATAGCGTGTTTTATGAAGGTTTCTGATGAACCCCACCAAACACAGCCAGTCTCAAAGAAGTCTACGAATATTGATAAATCAGTACCATGGGTACCATCCACGTTGGGCGCCAATTTACCATCTTATTTATGCTCGCCCAGAAAAAAATACCTTACATTGAATGTTCCACCTCATTTGGGTTCACATAGAAAAGAGTCATGAGCAGCTCATTTTAGAGCCTGAGGCTCAAACTTCCACTAAAAACTACACTTAATTACAATAAATGATAAGCAGTTTTCTGGAATCAATCAAAACATATGGACTTATCTTTACAAGCCAAGGCTTGGAGAGGCTTCTTGTTGTCACATGGGAAAACGAAGGAGTATCCTTGGCCAGGGCCAAGGCCAGTAAGCGATAGATTAGAGCTCGACGTGTCTTAGTTCCTATCGTAGATTTGAGAAAGGCTAGAGCGCAAGTTTAATTTGAGGCAAGGGTTAAGATGAGGCGGCCCCTAAATCCTTTTGCCTAATCAAGCACACACATAACTGAATTTAGCATACTCATTATCGCAGTCACCTGAAGACAATTAGAACGTGTTGCTTATGTGCTCACTGGAAATAAAGTCAGAAGAAGAAAGGGGAAATTGTTCGTGATGCAGATGTTGTTGATAATGTAAGGGAGTTCTGCTATATACAGGGTGTCCCCCGTTACTATTAGAGTTGCATAAAACAGTTGAATATAATAGTTGTAGGCACAGCTCAGGGCTACAGCCTAAAGTTTTTAGCTACACTATTATTTCTTTAAAGGGTGACCCTGTATTTCTGTTAATTTTGGAAGCGCCTTTTCTTCGCCATCCTGCCAATGTGTAGTTTCGGCAGTTTGTACTAGGTATTTCGGAATATATGGCCACTTTTTCGTTAAGATCATTATACATTTGACTTCCCATATCTTAAACAACACTTTAGATAAAATCTGTTTTATTATACTGAGTGATGGAAGCAGTAGCTGACATTCATATAAAACGTTGTTTCTGTACATATTTCATTCGAGACATACAGGGCGAGTCAAAACAGAAAGATGTAATTGTCTTGAAAAATTTAAATCAAATACCCTGTACAACTCTATTCAAAACGTCTCGTAGTGCTCTTCCAGTTTTATTATGCATTGCCATTTTTATTCAGCTTTTTTCTGCAACTCTTATAGTAACGAAGATAATTGAGCTTTGACACCACAGGGTGTATATATGAAAGGGTTTTTCACGACTACTGTCGTTTCCTGCTTCCCAAATCCAATCTTCTTCTTGGAGTCCCTGGATGCCAACAGCTTTATTCCAACTTCTTCTAGGCCTAGCACGTTTGCGACCCTCTGGTGGTATCCATTCATAAACTTTTTTTGCCCATCCCGATTTGTCCATACGTTGGAGGTGGCCATACCAAAGCAATCGCTTTGATTCAATTATATCTACGGTGCTGTTGCTTACATTCATAATTTCTTTAATCCTTCTCCAATAAGCCACTTATAGAGTTATGCTTCATATTGGTAATATGCACAAGGATGTGCGAGATGAGGACTTCAGGAAAGATAGAACCGTAACAGCCAGGTATAGAGGCAACCGACGAATGCATGGAGGGTAAGCAAGAGGCTCGTAGCCAACGAAAGGCCAAGTGTTGTGGCTATTGAGCAAGAGTAGAGAACTTCCAATCTGCCTGGTTGGGATTCCAAGAGAGCACTGCAGATGCACTAGACCGATGAGCTAGTATCGGAAGATTCTACAAGGTTTTTGCTTAATGTGGGTCAAGAATGCAGAGGCTGTATTTTTAAGTGTGCTAAGTCGGAAAAAGAAGAGAGTTTCATGCGAAGGAGGTCTTCCTGATCCCTTAGATTTGGATAGAGTATTGCGCCATGTGCAGTCATCTGTTGCGTTAGAAACAACTGTGAAATTAATATTTTCCGATTAATCGTAATCTTCAAGCGGGCTCGAAAGTTGCGGCCCTGCCCACAAAGATGAGAGATACGCACATGTATTACTTCGATATACACATGATGAATTTCTTTGATTTGGCTTCCCACAGTTGCTATAAGATAGCACTAAAAGTAGCTCTGCTGGAGAATATACAGGGTTATCCAAATTAAGTGTCCACCATTAGTAACTTTGTTATTAGTGAAAATACAAAGTTGTTTGAATTAGCAAACTAGTAGCATTTTTAACGCTAGTAAAAATGAGAAATAAAAAAAACAATTGAGAGTCGTTATTTTGATTTTTTTCAGTAAAATAACATTTTTTTAAATGGAAACCCCTGTATATTATATTTTTTTCTGTTAAAGCATCAAATTTTAAACAAAAAAGCTTACAATAACTTTTCTCCTAGGTTACAAATTGTTGAAGTTATGGCCTCCAATCTGAAACAATTAAATTGTATCGACAAACTTTATTTTCAACATCAACTTATAATCTTACAAAATACAATAACAATTTTTTTTAAAGAAGATGCTCGAAAACACCACCTTGTTCTTCAATACATTTTGGGCACGTTTTTCAACTGCTCGAACTGTCTTAAGTATGGTCCTACCATCTATCTGGGTTATCTTTTCCCTAACTGCAGTCTTTAACGCGTCAAGGTTATCGTACCTTCGCTTGTAAATTTGGTTCTTTAAGTAACCCCACAAGAAGTAATCAAGTGGGTCTAGATCTGGCGATCTGGGAGGCCACTGTATTGGGCCATTTGTTCCTATCCACTGATCATTAAAAGTAGTACTTAGAAAATGATAAGTACCTCTGGAGTTGTGGGCAGGTGCGCCATCTTGCTGAAAATGCAGATGATGTCTACTTATAAGATCCAATTCGTCTAAGATATTAGTCAGAATTTCTGGCATAAATTCCACATATCTTTCACCAGTTAGGGTTCCCTCATAAAAGAGCGGGCCAACAATTTTTGAACCAATTATACCGCACCAAACGTTGAAACTGAAACGGACTTGTGGGCCTCTTGGATGTACTAACAACAGATTTTCTCTTGACCAATAATGGTGGTTTTTTTCTATTAAACATTCCAGAATTTGAAAAATTTGATTCATCTGTCCATAAAAGGTAACGAAAGTTATTTATATTTTGGCGACAGAAGCTAAGATACCAATGGCAAAAAACAAGTCTTCTCTCTGGATCCCCTGCCAAAAGCGTTTGAACTGGTCGGTACTTATACGGAATAAATTTGTATTTTTTTAAAATCCTTTGAACAGTACCATAACTGAAATTAGAGTCCTTGAGAATATCTGCTATTGAATTCTCACGATAAGCTTCAAAATATCCAATAACTGCAATTTCCGTGGCCTCGCTTATTATGAATTCTTTTTTTGCCCTTGTTTTAGCAAAAACATTTTCGTTGCCCCTAAATTTTCGATAAAGTCTCAGAAAATATCGTTCATACGGTTGAATGCGAGCGGGATATAATTCACTGTAGTATTCTCTTGCTCTCAAGGAGGATTTTCTGCACACTAAATAGCATTCTAACATATCACACTTTTCTTCATGGGAGAACATTTTTCTTTAAATTAATGACACAATAAAGCTTATAAACAAGTAGTTACACTAATGTTTGACATTATTTGATTTTATCATTGTTTTCCAAAGCCTTCTAGTTGCGAGTATGTCCAGTTTAACAATTTGTCGCTTATCTTAATGCTGTCAAATTGCGAACGCCATGTTGTTTTCATAGCCGTCTTAATATTATAATACTGCAAATAATTAAAAATATTTATCATTATTTTGACTTTATTTTTGACTTTAGCGGAAAAGTCATTATGAACTTTTTTGTTTAAAATTTGATGTTTTAACAGAAAAAAATATAATATACAGGGGTTTCCATTTAAAAAAATGTTATTTTACTGAAAAAAATCAAAATAACGACTCTCAATTGTTTTTTTTTATTTCTCATTTTTACCAGCGTTAAAAATGCTACTAGTTTGCTAATTCAAACAACTTTGTATTTTCACTAATAACAAAGTTACTAATGGTGGACACTTAATTTGGATAACCCTGTATTATGACAAGAGACTACACTAAGAATCGTTCATCAATGTTTTCAGATAAAGTTACGAATGCCTTAAACATGCATGTCACACATCCGCTCTCCGTGACGCATGTATCAATCTAGGTCAGTGATTTCTTGTATTTCTACTTAATTGTTCGACAATCAAGCTTAGATTATATTTATTTGCAAGCTATTAGCATGTACACTTTCTTTTCCTTTAAGGAGATATTTTTCCAAAAGCCATAGTGAATGATTGTATTACATATAGAGACGACTCGCGTTCGATCAACATGTTCCATAGAAACCTCTGCAAAGGCCGTACAATGAAGTTAGAGAAATAACTTTAAAGTTAACAAAAACTCACAGGCTCTTAATTTAGACCACATCGGGACATACAGATCCTCATCCTCATCCTTCATGAAGTAAGTTTCAATTTCACTCTTGATAATAAATTATTATCATAGGTAGGATAACTTGCCGCGACTTAGATTTCCAAAATTCCCTTTATTTATTCAGACCCGTCTTTGGCGGGAAAAGTAACTATCACTTTCGAAAGTTATCTTACATCATTTCAGGACATTTTAGAGGCATTTGTTGTGGAAGTGAAGCAAGACAATCCCAGAAGAGATGAGTCTGTTCAATTTGTGGATGTCAGGCTCAATTTAGAGGTTGAAAAAAACAGCTGAGCTAAGCTGTATAGAACATAACCTAACAATGACTTTATTTTATACATATATGTATCATGGAGCTACACTTAAGACTAAACATTTTTTTTTTAGTTTACTGACACGAAATGGCATAAAACAATTTTTTTTTGTACAGCATAGGTGGCTGTGGTCATTATCTGCATTTCCTGATCTTGTTTCGGTTCACATAAGTACTTTCATTGACACATATTCTGTTACTATATACAGGGTGACTTCGAAGTTGAGTCATTTATTTTAACAGTGAGTAGATCTGATCAAAAGAAATGTTTTTTTCCTTCAACATTTTTGTGGTAAAATTAAAGTAACAAAGTTATAGCCCTTTAGAAGTTTGAGTACCGCCCTGTCTCAATAATAATATGTGCTCTTGTTTGGCAACAACGGATATAATCGGAAACAAAAAAGCGAAAGAATTTGAAACGCTTATCACGATGTTTTATTCATTTATTTTATTCAGTTGTATTCATTCGATATGTCAGTCGGTAACGCGTGAGTAGTGTTTCTGCGTGGCTCAAACGAAATAAAAAATGGCACATGTTTACGAAAATGCTGAACTTGTGGACATGATTCTGATTTTACAAAATGCTGCTACGGCAACACGGATTTATGCGGATCGGTTTCCCAATCGAGTGCAACCAACCCCTAGTGCCTTTGTTAATATAGTACAAAGGGCTCGTGAATCAGGTGACTTAAGTCCTCACACGGGAGGGTAAGTGCTCCAAGACCGCACGATCAAATACAGGTCCGCACTGAAATACTTGTCGGGATGATTATTTTATAAAACAAGGTAACATTTCTTTTAAATTTTTTTTAAATTTTTACGCACATATTTTGGTTTATCTTCCTTCTACAATCATTATCTGAAAATTAATGACTCAACTTCAAAGTCACCCTGTATATTATGTTCCATCCTCGTCGAAGTAAATATTTAGAATACGTATCGTAGTACCCTCGTTAGTTGTACCAAACCCCACGATTTCAAGATGCGCACGCAGCGAAAGAAAGCGGCACCGTGCCCGTTTCCCCTACTTTCCTCCCCTCTGGCCGCCTATAAACATTCATTAATTGTTCTCGTGCCAAACCGTTAAGACGTCAGTCGGCGCGCATCTTTTCTACCTTTTCAGGAGTCTCGAGGCACCGCTGAACATTTAGAATTAGAGAACAGGACAGAAGACTGGCCGATAGATGTGCATTGTCGAACGAGATACCGACCGACGGTCGACTGAGGGTTCTTTCGTCGAGGAGCAAAATTAGAAAGTGTCGTGCAGGCCCATTTTTCTGAAGATGCGTCTCGGCTTACCGACGCTGCAGTCTGTGCCTAACATGACGTTTGGGATAACGTTCTGACACTGTTGCTTGGGATAACAGCCTGGACCTAGCTTGTGATAGCAAAGTCCATACCTAGGACGAACAAAGAGTTGGGATAATGCTGAAACATTAGACTCGGTTTTTTGGGATAGCAACGTGGACCTGACTTGGGATAGTCAGCTTCACACCAAGGACAAACGAAGATGTTTGGGTTAACGTGGAAGACTTAGACTCGGTTGCTTGGGATAGCAACGTGGACCTGGCTTGTGATAGTCAGCTCCACACCATGGACGAATAAAGATGTTTGGATAATGTCTCAATACTGAACTCCGTTGCACAAATAACAACACTGAAAGCATTTGGGACAACGTAGGAACAAGGTATGGTCGACAACCTCTTCTCAATTGCTTGTGATAATCATGGAACAGGACTGTAAGTTTGAACATGGCAGATTAGGAAGTCGTTAAGATATATTTTTTCCTTATGACCTGATAGAGATTAGGTATCTTATGCGAGGTTAGAGTTGCATTTTGCTTGTGATGGAAAATTCCATCTGGTTTGTGATAACTCTCGGAACAGCATAATAAGATTGCACCAGACAGTTTAGGAAACCGCCGAAGTACCATTTTTCATTAATAACAAATAGAGATCAGGTTCATCTATGCAAGACTAGCGTTATATTTTGTCATTTATCATTCATAACAGATAAAAACTGGGTACATCTATGTGAGACTAGCGATACATTTTGCTTGGGATAGCAGATCCGATCTGCTTTGTGATAGCAATGTAGCAATATAGTATTTTTCATTTATAACAGATAAAAATTGGGTACATTTATTTTTTTATTTTCCTGTTTTTTGGTAAATACTCATGTTTCTCTTCTTGATATATATATATATATATATATATATATATATATATATTTGAGAACTGTTTGGAAATAAAGGCATTTATTATTATTATTATTATTATTATTATTATTATTATTATTATATATCATGTGAGACTAGTGGCACATTTGCTTGGGATAGCAGATTCCATCCGGTTTGTGATAGCAATGTAGCAATATAGCAATTTTCATTTATAACTGATAAAAATTGGGTACATCTATGTGAGACAAGCGGTACATTTTGCTTGGGATAGCAAATTCAATCTGGTTTGTGATAACCATGAAACAATATTGTAAGGATGCACATGAGAAGTTAGGAAGAGGCCGAAGTAAATTCTACGTGGTTTGTGATAACCCTGGAACAGGTGTGTAATTATGAGCATGTCAGGTTAGAAAACCACAATTTATATCTTTTTCTTATCGCCAGATAAAGAATAAGCACCTTATGCGAGGTTAGGGTAACATGTTGCCTATGATAGCAAATTTCATCTGGTTTGTGATAACCTTGGAACATCAGTATGCACATGACAATTTAGGAAACCACTAAAGTACCATTTTTCGTTAATAGCAGATACAGATTAGGTTTTATCTAAGCGAGATTAGCGTTACATTTTGCTTGTGATAGCAAACTCCATATGGTTTGGAATAGCCACCGAACAGGTCAATAATATGCACATGAAAGGTTACGAAACAATTGAAGTACTATTTTTCATTAACGACATAGAAATTAGGTACATCTGTGGTAGACTAGCGTTAAATTTTGCTTGTCATAGCAAATTCCACCTGGCTGGTAATAACAGTGAAACAGGACTGAACGTATGAACATGAACGGTTAGGAAACTACCAAAGTTCTAATGTTCAGTAATTACGGAGGTTAAATATCATTATGCCCGATTAACGTTACGTTTTGCATAGGTGGCATCCAAACAGCAGGGCGCACTGGATTGTGTTGTCTTAAAGGCCATGTAGTCTGTTTCAATAGATGCGGCGACCTTAGTACAATTAATGTTCGCGGGTTGTTCCAAGGCTGACATTTCGAGGGCAGGTCTTGTTGATAACGAGAGATGAATAAATTCTGTTCTAGTCTAGCCACCTAAGGTGAACCAGGTGAGGTAGCGGAAGCCATAATAGAAATTATCGCACGCAGGGATGCGTGCTTGGTCTGTGCACAGCAACGTGTGAGCTGTTTATTAACTTCAAGTGGCAATTCTCTATGTTCAAAGACGGGAGAGGAGCGCATGCTGGCAGATATTCAAGTTAAAGCAAACAACTCAGGAGTACTCTGACAGAGACTTCCATTAAAATCTTTTTCTTCGATGTAGGTCTGACCAAGTAAGTCAATTCTAAATAGAAATCAGATAAACATGAGCAGCAACTGAAGGCCAAAAGGTCAGACAACATCAGATATCACCCGTTATTGATGTAGATGAGGTATGTAGATCAGCAGCGATATTGAAGCGTATTCATCATCAATGGCAGAGCTGTAGGAGTGGCGCTAAAGTCATGAGCTGGACTCAAGTGGTCACTTGCCATTCAGATGGCGACTGGTTCAGCATATTGCCATAGCTGAATCTCATTAGTCCATCTATGAACTACCGACTTTCGACAG